AAAGAGGTTTCCCTTGCTGCACAACAGAAAAGATATGCATCTTCTAAGATGGTGATTCTAGATATATTTTTGTAATTAAAAATATTTTTATATTAAAATATTAGAGTGATTGCTTACTTATTGACAGGAGAGGTATTTAAATATACAAGAAACATTTAACTGATACTCAACCTCATAAATGTATAGAGTTGGAAGAGGCCATTTAGGTCACTGAATCAGACTCCCTCTGCTTAGTGCAGGAATCCAAAACAACCATGACAGATGTTTTCCACTCTTTGCTGAACACATTTATTTTATTTATTTACTCGCAAAGTTTTTTCACGTCCAGAGAAGGAAAGCCCACTATCAATCGGGGTAATTGGTTTTATTTCAAACTGCTCTTTTTGTCTAAGGTTTTTTCTAACATCGATTGGAATCTGGCTTCCTATAATTAAAATCCATTATTCTCTTTCTTGCACTCTGGAACAACAAAGAACAGGTTCTGATCTTCTTTTGTGTGATATCCTTTCAGGTATTGCTATTACAAAGGCTTACTCCCAAAGGCTTTTCACATCCAGAGAAGGAAAGCCCACTATCAATCTGGATAATTGGTTTTATTTCAAACTGCTCTTTTTGTCTAAGATTTTTTCTAACACCAATTGGAATTTGGCTTCCTATAATTAAAATCCATTATTCTCTTTCTAGCACTCTGGAAAAACAAAAAACAGGTTCTGATCTTCTTTTGTGTGATATCCTTTCAGGTATTGCTATCTCAGAGGCAAAACATGTCTAGCATTTTCAATGTCTCTTCACAGGACACCATTTCTAGTCTTCTAATCATACTTTTGCTCTTCTCTGAATGTGTTCCAATTTCTCTTAATATTTCTTAAGGTGTGGTGCACAGAACCGGATACAGTACTCAAACAGAGATCTGACCAATACAGTACAACGTGTAACTATTACTCCCCATGATTTGACAACTGTATATCTGCTGATACACCTAAAATTGCATTTGCCTCTTTTGCAACCATACTGCAAATTGAATCAACAAAAGGAAAGGGCAATCAACTACTATTTCAATAACTTTTTCCAAACTATGATTATCAAGACAATTTTATGCCCATGCATTTGATTTTTGTTTCCTAAATGAAAATGTTTGTACTTATCACTATTAACATTTTATTCTGTTATTCTCAGCCTATTTATCTAATGGATCACACACATTTTTATTTTGATTTCTGTCTTCCAGGGCAGAAGCTATCCTTCCCAGTTTTGTATTTGCAAATTTGATCAGCATTTCTTCTACCACTTCAGAACGGAGAGCATTACTAAAAAAAAAAAATGAGGGGCAGAACACCCAGGGCTGATATCTGGCAGCCCACTCAATCTCTCTTTGCAGTTTGATGTGAATTATTAAAGAGCACTCTTTGAATACAAAACCAGCTATGAATCCACTTAATTGTCATCCAGCCCACAGTTAACTACTTGGTAATCAGAATGTCATGTCTAATAGAATGAATTTTATCCAATGCTTTGCTAAAATCAAGATTTATTATATTTATGGCATTCCCATATTGTATTAAGGAATCTACTCCCTTCCCCCAAATGAGAGATTAGTTTACCCATACTTGTTCTTCACCATTCCATCCTGACAAATGGTAAATATTACATTGCTCTCTGCTCTTGATTTTAGCCAAAAGGTTGAAAAGCAAAGCTTTTCATGTTTTTGAAGCAGCATGCTTTTGATTTTGATGTTCAGAAAGATCCCTGTTAGTGTAACAATGGTCTGTTTGGATTACCTGACCAATAATTTCTAAGTGCTACATCAGACAGCTGTTATGTTAGTCAGATTCAATGCCTAAGGACAAATTCTGTTGGACTGCCACTGCTGTTCAGACGTCCTTAGTATAGTTCATCACTTCCAGGGAAGAAATGGCAAACTGAACATGGCTCCATGACAGCAGAGCCTACAACCATGGTGGAATGAAGAGCTGGTGAATGAAGAGACTCCTCATGATTCCTCTCTGGACAAGGAAGGACTGGGATCACTCACAAGTGCTCCAGACAGATAGTGGTCTCTGGCAGGTTTAGAGCTCTGGGAGATGAAGAATGCCATTGTAGCCCAAACCATGGTTCTGCACCTTCAAAAAGGACACAGGGTTCGCATACTTTCTTTTTGGAAATTGCTTAACTATTTTTTGGATATTAGGAAACTTCATAACGGCAAGTTTTACTACACCAGGTGAGTTTCCTTCAATCCTTAGTGAAAGAAGTTTTATACAAGTTTGAGGCCTTAAAAAATTCTTTGGGGGGGGGGGGAATAAACAGCAAAAAGGTGATAAAACATTGATTTTTGGAAAGTTATAAATAGACTAAAGGACCAGATGGATTTTAAATAAGACTTTAAAACTAATAAGAATCCTTCCAGTGAGAAAATGCTGTTGTTTTGAATACTTAATAAAAATATATAAGATGGGATTTTGAAGGTTGGACACTAGAGGGAACCAGATTAAAGATTACAATTAAAGAAGAGCACCTAAATTTGACTTACTAATATAGAATATAGCAAAATACTTTAACATTGGATGTACCGAAGGATATTTATGAACAATGGATCCAGAAGTTAATTTTAAAAATGTCTGCCATTATAGACCGGCTGTGTTAGGAAGTTGATATGAAAGAAGAGCAAGCATTACTGGATAGGGCTAAGTCTGATTTGAAAGTGGATTTAAAAATGATGGGCTATAAGTATGATGTAGAAGGAGACGCTACACTGGATATACAAATGAAACCAGTTGATGCCTCACTAAATTAAAAGAGTGACCTGGATAACTTTCTTATACTGGATTTACAAAAGAGACTTGTTAAAGTTTAGAAGAATTTTGTGAGAATGGACAAAGAAAAAATTAAAAGAAATCAAGTTCTAGGACATTATTTGAGAGAATTAAGGATAAAGATTGTTAAAAGTCAAAGGAGGAAATAAAAGTTGGTTTAATTAGGCAAAGTTAAAATAGATATGTTGTCATCTACAGTAACCCTTAATGCACTTGAATGACGAGGTTTTAAAGATTTGTTTAAAGAAAAGAGATGAGATATGGGAAGAAGAGATCATTTGTTGTATTTTTAAGAGAAGGTGATAAGTCACTAAAATTGTTTATACTTATTATGAAGGGGAAAGTCATTTCTTTCCTTCCTTCCGTCTTCCTTCCTTTTTTCTTTTATTTTTTTAGTTTGTATTGGTTCTTACCTTTTTAATTGTAATCTTCAATAAAGTTACTATAAAAACAGAGGCTCTGAATATAGTTCTGCAATCTGATATAGTACTATGAAACTGTATCACTTGATGTAATATATTATTCAAGCTTTTTGAATATTCTTCATGCTTCCAGAGGATATATTTTTGTTTTAACTGTATGCAAAGTATAAAGAATTCTTGAAATCTTTTCAGGTATCAACATCAGATTGAATGATAAATAATTCCCTGGACCAGCTTTTTTCCCAGTTTTGGAGATAGAGACAACACTTGCCATCCTCAAGTCATGTGTCAATTCCACAATTTTCCAATATGCACATGGTTCAAGTAGCTCTGCAGCTTTAAACTCATTCAGAGTAAAGAGATAATCCCTGACCATGATTCTATCCATCTCAAGCTTCATTTTGATTTTCATCACTTCCTAGTGGGACACATACATTCTTCTTGGAGAGAGCTAAAAAACTGAGAAGCTCTGTTTTTTCTTTGTTACTTGTTAGAATTTTGCCACCTTCACTGAGCAACTAGTAGTTTGAACGTATCTATGGAAGCCCTTTTAGATATTGTTCTTAGTATCCTTTACTGACCTCATATCATTCTGAGCTTTAGCTTTCTTGATATTAGATTTACAGTTCTAGACTACCTGCACATGATCACCTTCCCTCTCACATTACTTTTTTCCCTTTTCAGTTTCTCACTATGCTTTTTGTGTAGCCATACTGGCTTCTTTTGATGTTCTCCATTTTTCCTTTATTGGAATTGTTTGTGCTTTCTGAGAGTTCTTTTTTAGGAACTCTCACATATCTTAAGTCCCTTCTCTCATTACTTTCTCCTAACTATTCACTGATCAGCTATCAGCACCAAAGTCTCTATGCCTATCAGCTATCTAGCTTTATAAGTAACAGAAAATTAGATCTCACAGCCCAAGGCACAAAAGAGGTATCTGACATTCTTTCCTCTTGGACATTCTAGTTACATAGTAAATAGTAAACACTGTAGCATCAACATGCAATCAAAATTCATTGTTAGCGCTTTATGTCTACATAGAAAAGGCATCAGAAAACATCCCATAAATCTAAGCTGTAAGCCTCATTTCCTTGAAGCCTCCAACATAGCATTGACCTATAGCAGCTTACTTTCTATCTATACTCCTACAGAGTTATTTACCTGATCCATAAACGATTCTATCATTTCATCCCAACTAAGACCCAGTTTGGTCTAATGGCTAATGTGCTGGACTAGGAACAGGAAAACCTAAGTTCTAGTTCTGCCTTAGGCATGGAGAACAGTTAGATGACCTTGGACCAGTCACTCTTTCACCTAAGGAAGAATGAAATGGTACACCACTTCTGAAAATTTCACCTAGTTTCTAGAAGGCTGATTGATTCAAGACAGGGGGAAAAAATCATCCTACACCACCCACACAAATACTTCTAGCAACAATTACGAAATTAGCATCTGCTATTAACATATAGCCTGCCACTTCTACTCACCTTTTCATCAGGGAACCTGAGATCTTCTACATGTCACAGATGTAGAACATCAGTGGGTAAAGTGGTGACTGCTTCTCTGCCCCCATTTTTAGATTGCATATCCCATCAGCCCCAGCTAACACTGTCAATGGTACTCAACCTAAACATCTGGACAGCACCAAATTGCCTACTCTGTATCCACAGCAGGAAGCCTCTCCCCCTTTCCAACTGCTGCCCATCAACCACCTTTTATCACCTGCCCCTCGCAAAACCACCGAGCGCCCCTCCCCGGCCGTTACCCGTGAGATGCCGGAGCGATGTGCCGTGAGCCCATAGGCTCAGCACCTGCTGGACCGACAGGTTTATCATTTGGTCTCCCGCCTCCGCCTTCATGGTCGCCGCGGGGGAGACGGCCAGGCCAGTTCTGTCGCCGCTGGGCCGCCGCCTCGGGAGTCGTGCCTGGCTTGGGCAACAGCCTCGGGAAACGGGAGGCCGAGGCCGGGCTCCCCGGAGGCCTC